ATATTTCACTCCTTAGGGCTATATTGACCGCTTATACATGTATTTGACTCTTTTAGCGATTGAACACAGGCTTTGGCTAGTCGTGATAAATCTAATATTGACTTCGTACTTGGTCAGTATAGGAAATAAAAGACCTCGTAAAAGACCTCGGCTTCGCCTCGGTCTTTTACTCGGCTTTTATTTCATATCGACCAAGTACTCAGTCAATATTAGATACGTAGTAGAATTTATTATTTTACTAGCGAACTCCCAACAGGCATTGCCTTTTTACTGGGAACCCTAGGAATGACTTGGTGCTTGTGACAAATGCAGAAAGGGGCTTAGCTTGACGACATCCAGGTGGAAGCATGTTCCATCTGTCTGCTGCCAAAAATGAAATAGCATTCAGGCCGTAACGAGACGTAGCTCTGGGTAGGTTCAGAGCGGCTGAAGCTTGACCGCAGGTAGCAGCATTTGTGCGGCATGATGCAGAGCGGGTGGTAAATATCGCGCTTAAAAGAGGACTGGTGCAACGAGATAGACACCTAAAAACAAACACAAACAGCTTCAAGTTTAGACGGCGAGAGAAAGTATACAGGTCATATTTGGTGAGAATGAAATCGATAGAAGTATACTGATCATGGCCAAACACTCACCTTAGGCACCTATTGCTGGTTGACTCAAGTTTGTCTCTGAGTTTAGCAGACAAGCGGTGAACATAACATGTACTGGCATAGTCCAAGGTACTCTGGACAATTGTCAGGTAAAACATGCGGCGGCCGGTCGTGGAGACATCGCGGCGCCCGTGGCGGAATGAGGCAACCTTGCACTGTGCCTTTGCCGCACACACGCTCCACCTGCTGCTCGAAGCTGAGCGACGAGTCCAATAGGAGGCCAAGGTACAGAACATGGCTGGACTCGGGGATTACGATGCCTTTGCAGGTGATGCTGGGGATCACGTCCAGTTGCGCAGTAGGTCGTCTGAGCAGCAGTAGCTGAGACTTTTTGGGATTCAGCACCAGTCCCCGCTCGCTGAGGAAGTCCTCCAGATTCAAGAGATCTGTCTGCAGCATTCTGAGCACGGTTGAAGCCGTGCGACCAATGACGTAGAACGCGATGTCGTCCGCAAACAGGAGAGCACGGCAATGTTGAAATTTCTGAGGGGTACGCCGGTATCATTGAAATGCAGAAAAGTAAGGGGCCTAACACGGAGCCTTGTGGTACACCACGTGAGCAGGGCTCTGTACTGCCTCGGGCATCGCCGACAACGACCTGCTGGGTTCTCCCAGTAAGGTAGTCTGCGAACCAACGCAATGCCACACCTAAGACGCCACCTGAAGCCAGTTCCTGCACGAGCTTGCTATGCTGAACGCGGTCGAAGGCCTTGCGGTAATCATGCAGTTTAGGGTCCCAAATTATTTCGCACTTTCCCAGTGTTCAGTGTACTGTCACACGCGTTTTCAGTGTACTTTAACATCATGAACTATATTTTCATGAAAACCGAGGACAGATCAGACTGGGTACTGCTGGTGAACACTGCGGAGCAGGGAGCCGAACGTGTTGTCTTCCGCGCGAACTCTCTGTCTCCACACGAACTCGCAGAGGTACGTCGGGAACAACTCTCGCGAGGTGCCGAAGTTCAGCTGGCGCTTGGCCCGCATCCACATGTTTTCCACGTTGTTGGTGTGGATCGTTCGGCCGTCCGGATCAACAAAGTTGTCGTCGTGGACGACGACATCGTGCTGGTATACGCCACCGTCGATGTTCCTGATCTGCGCGTATGCGGCCCAGCCGTCAGAGATGATGCGTGAGCCAGGCAGAATCCACAGGAAACAAAACTTTGACCAAGGAAACAAAACTTTCACACGAGAAAAGAAGAAGCATAGTGAAAGTACACTGAAAACGCGTGTGACAGTACACTGCACTGGGAAAGTGCGAAATAATTTGGGAACTAAACTGCATGATTACCTACGACAAAATGTCTTCACAGCTGTGATTGCGCCTGTAAGCAAACTGCTCCTCCGGTAGTGCACCGAGTTCCGGATGATTGTCGAAGAATGCTACTAGTACTACGGGTCGGTAGGTCTACGCGGTGTACTACCGGTATACCTTCTCAAGCACTTTGGATATCACTGGCAAAAGTGACACTGGTCGGTAGCAATATAGGAAAATATCGCCAGACCACGCCACCACTCCCCTTATTCATGGTCATATACATGACGGGTTTACGTGGCTCTAGTAAAAAAAAAAGCCGAGTAAAAGACCGAGGCGAAGCCGAGGTCTTTTACGAGGTTTTTATTTCATACTGACCAAGTACGAAGTCAATATTAGATTTATCACGACAAACAGTCCGTATTTCAAATTCCAGAACGATAACCTCATGAATCCCGGTTTTATGATTGCACAACCGTTGCACCACCTACTCATGCAATGACAATGCTGCACTAGGCACCGTTCAACTGCGCAACCCCTAAGCAGTCAAATATAAGCAGTCAATATAGCCCTATTAAAGGAGTGAAATATGCAGGAATATTTGACCGCTTAGGTATCGAAAATCAATGGGAGTCAATACTAAGTCTAAGGGAGTGATAACGGTCAATATTATGTATCTATTATTGCACGATTAAAGAGGTCAATATATGAAATATAGAACGAGTAAAAGACCGAGGTCCCCCGAGGTCTTTTACGAGGTCTATATTTCATATATTGACCGATTATGAGGGCAATAATAGATTTATCACGACATAGCATACCTAAAACTGTTTTTGCTTTGCTATAGGAAGAAAGGAATACTATTGTAATAGTATAATAGTATGTACATATGCCGTTTACATTGGACATTACTTCTGTGTAAACCAAAGTTTTCAGTTGTCTCTTGTAGTATGTTCCCCAAGTCCTTTGACTGAGAATCTGACAGTTTGGGTTCGAATCCCAGCATTTGGCTTCAGATTTTTCTTCTTTCAGTTCTGATTTTTTTCTAAGTTGAGGAAAAAGTTCTAAGTCCTCAGGCTAAGTGGTCAATAATAAGTGGTCAATATAAGCGGTCAATATATGCTGTTATACCATGGTACGGTGCGGAGGGCCTGTTTTCAGCCAATCAGCGCTCGTCTAGCCATGGTTATATGGGCCAGTATAAATCCCGCGCGGGATTTATATAGAATATAAATCCCGGTGCACGGTACGTACGCTAGGGCACTGCCACCGTACATGTTCACTGCCTGAAAGGCAGTGAACTTGTACGGCGGCAGTACTCCAGCGCACGGACCATACATAAACAGACACAACGGACACCACATGCGCGTGTCCACTCCACACAGAACGGCACACTGACGAGGAACAGTACACAATGGAAAAGAAGAATGACCTGGAATTCGTCTACAGAGTATTTTGTTATACTGAATCTGAGGATAAAGAACGTCGAATAACCACGAAGTACCCCAAATGGGCCAGCAATGTACATTGTACTTCGAAGAGTTGAAGATCATCAACAGACTGTCTCTTTCGTAAATAAGTTTATAATACCAGTGTACATGTACTTCAACCCGATTGGAAAAGGCTACAATAGATTGGATTGAAATGTGATACAAAACAGTGTATGCAAATGCATCTACTTGCAAGCAAAACTGATTATGAGATGCCCCATGTGAAAATCAGCACTGTACCATAATTATAGTAACACTTACTCCCAAAGAGTCCAAGCTGTAATCTAACTAGTGACGGTAGTTTGATTCAACGACAAACTCCAGCACCGCAGCAATTCAGTCGACTTCCGCACCGCTCACGACTCAAGACAAGATCATGAAGATGCTACAATATGCACTGGAACTGAAAGGAAATCGTATGCCAAACATCCACGGAGGAATCTCCTTCTGACCTTGCTTGACCATTCTTTCAATTGACAACTGATAACCATCAGAAGATGTTCATGTACTGCATGATGTAGGAGATCTCCAAATAGGTTCGTTGTTCTGGAAATGCGTAGGGGTACCTGGCATAAGTAGGATATGACCCTCGTAGTCGGGTTATACCGTACCCTCATATAAATCCCTCCTGCTATCGCAGTCGGGATTTAGATTCAGCCGGTATAACCCTCTGACTCGGGTTATATCCTCTACATATTTGACCGCTTAGAGATCACAAGTTTCTGTGGGGGTCAATAATAAGAGAGTGATAAGTATAGATTATAGACCGGTTAGGAGGTCTATACAGGATATATAGACCGAGTAAAAGACCGAGGTCCCCCGAGGTCTTTTACGAGGTCTATATATCCTGTATAGACCAACTATGAGGTCTATAATCTATTTATCGTGTTCTCCACGCAATAGTTTCTCTTCATATACGACATATCCTTGTAATTCTAGTATTTATACTATAGCCTATACCGCATTGTACTGCATTTAAAGTCAAGATCATTGTTTAAACTAGGTTCAGCATCGGTAGCACAGTGGCTGGGTGGTAAGGAAGAGTGACTGAGATTCACAAGGTTGTGGGTTCAAATCCCATCTTGGGTATTTCTGCTTTCTTCAAAATTTCTTTTTCTAAGTTGGAGAGAAAATTTCTAAGTCCAAGAAGTTAAAGGAGTCAAATATAAGTAGTCAAATATATCGCGTATTTGACTAAGCAGTCAAATACGCGATATATTTGACCGCTTAGGTATCAGGGAAATTAGTGGGGTCAAATACTAAGAAGGCGATAAGTACATATACATACACACATGCAGATAAACCGCGTACTCTACACTACACAGTGCAGTGGCATATCACGTGCGGGTGAAGACAGTCAGGTTTTTTTTTTTTTTTTTTTCACAGCCCTACTGGAAAACATTATGGACAACAGAAAGAAACGAGAAAAGGACAAAGTACAGCATCTAGTATAGCAGTAGAGTACATGACATCTTTTGATTCTTGCAGACGTTTTTTTTATTAAATTTATCTTTATTTTTATAGTCACGTAATCGAAAAAATGATGGATTAGACGGATAACCTATGTAATCGTTTCAGCCCTAAAAAAACGCACTAGAGTTGGATTGGGGCACGACCAATCAGGTGGCCAGCACAGGAGTCCCAATTCTACGGTTGCACTATCAGGTCGGCCGTCTAACGGTTCATTGAATTGTTGAGTACGACAAAGGACGACGGCATATTCTCCAGAGACAACGGGAACAGGTTAGGTGGAACAGCATCTATCGGGGAGACGAAGAGACAGAGACCAAGACGAACCAAACGACTACATGGTGGAAGAGAGAGACAAGAGCGAGAGATCAAGTGAGAACGGCAAGATAAAGGGCCTGGGTAGCTATGGCAAATATGGGCGCGCAAGTAGCTACCCAGGCCAACGGAACAAAAGGAGACAAAAGGTGAGTACTACATACTAGTATAGGGTGCATGCAGGCCAGCTTGGAAAACGGGGGTACGGGAAAACGGGGGTACGGGAAAACGGGGGTACGGGAAAACGGGGGTACGGGATCCCGGGAGCAAGTACCTAACAGAATGATTCCCGCTTAACCGACCGCCAAAACGGGGCAGATATGAAACCGACCGACTATCGCATCTAAGTACAACGGGGGCACCCTGCATGCGAGTGCGCCTCACTCACGTGCATACGTGAACGCCGGGGAGCGTTGAAAATAATTAGGGGGGGGGGGGGGGAGGACCAGCACCGGCACCACCGAGAAAGTTTTCGGGACCAGCATCAGCAGGCACAATGGCCGCAGTCACTCACTGCAGCCTGCGCAGTGCTGCCGACGAAGACTGCACGGGTGGGCTGCCGCCCAAAGGCAAAGAGCCAGGCAGGGAATTCCCCCTGGAGGCCGGGTTCCGACTAGCCTGCAATGCGGTCGCCTGCGATGCCGTCGTTGGCCGCAGGGCATCAACCTCGCTGGGCGAGAATGCAGCCCCAGCGGCGACATGCATGGACCCACCGCTCTGGAGATACTGCTCCAAGGCTTCGAACTCTTTAGCCATATCGCCCATATCGATAACGCTCATACCGGGAAACGCCAGGTCTGACATGTTGTTTTCGGCCGGAGTGGAAACGGCCACAGATGGCATTGCCAGGGATGGAGCTGACGCGCTGCTGGTGGTCGAGTGAGTTAACACTTGTGTCGGTGGAGATGATATCTGCTGCGCGCTGTTCATACTGGACGAGGCGGCTGACGAGAGGAAGGATTCAAGTCCAGCCTCAGAATACAGGTCGTCCGTCTGAGCAACACCCGGCAGGCTAACCTTCTGTGGTGCAGCAGACGACGCGCCAGTCGACGTGTTGGCCGTCACAGCACCGGCAGTCATGCTGGGATGTTGCAGGCCTACATGCTGCTGCTGCTGCTGTTGCTGTGAGTGTCTCAGCAACTGCGTTCGCTGCAGCACCAGCTCTTTTCGTTGCCTCTGCTCCAGCAGCAGCTGCTGCAGGTGCAGAAGGTGTGCATGCTGAGGCGGAGACAGCATTTCGAGCTGGGCAGCTGCAGCACTGGCCCCTCCAGGTATCAGCTGCTGTGACTGTAGGCTAGTGAGGCCCAGCGATGCATTCCTTGTGCTGGCGGCCATCTGAAGCCCCGGCTGTGCACAGCCATGCTGTACCGAACTGCTGTCCAGGCTGACCGCTTTCGCCAGCTTCTTCGGTCCGCCGGCAAACTCCGAAGCCAGCTTGTCTGCTTGCGCCCGCTGTAGATCTGCAGGGAGTTCGTCCGAGGTGTCTATCGATACTATCCGGTCTACGTCGGGTTGATGGGGGAACTGATCAACTCCACGAGTTAGCGCTGCGTTCACCAGTTCCTGCGAGGCTGAGTGTGCTGCCACCGCAGCTGGTTCATTCACCGAGAGGTCCGGCACGCTTGTCGTCGATACCTGAGCCAACACATGTTCATCATGGGCAGGCAGGCAGGCAGGCAGGTGCATACACGCACACGCATGTGCATATATGTGCGCGCGCACACACACACACACACACACACACACACACACACACACATGTATACACACGCACGCACGCGCACACACACACACACACACACACACACACACACACACACACACACACACACACACACACACACACACACATACACACACACATACACACACACACACACACAAAAGCAAAGCATAGCAACTCAATGTATAATCGCAAGCACATACACACTAGTACGTAATCTATCCTTAGTAGAGTGAACTTCGCTAATAACAACTGCGGATATAACGACAATTCGCGGATAACGACAGCATTTCCATGTCCATCACAAAGTCCCATCGAACTGAGTGCATATAAGGGGCCATCCGTAAATATGTATCTAATATTGACTGAGTACGAGGTCAATATAGGAAATAAAAGCCGAGTAAAAGACCGAGGCGAAGCCGAGGTTTTTTACGAGGTTTTTATTTCCTATACTGACCAAGTACGAAGTCAATATTTGATTTATCACGACAAACAGTCCGTATTTCAAATTCCAGAACGATAACCTCATGAATCCCGGTTTTATGATTGCACAACCGTTGCACCACGGCCTACTCATGCAGTGAAACTGCTGCACTAGGCACCGTTCAACTGCGCAACCCCTAAGGAGTCAAATATAAGCGGTCAATATAGCCCTAAGGAGTGAAATATGCAGGAATATTTGACTGCTTAGGTATGGCAAAAATCTATGTGAGTCAATACTAAGGGAGTGATAAAGATATTTATTCCCGTAGCTATGCACATACAGCTGGCCGCAATATTCAAATAGGGCTTTCAAACGCAAGATCATAACGTGAAGCAACTTGGAAGAATGAGTATGAATGCGAAGTGTATGGGGGAATGCATGTAGGGCGATAGTGCGGGTTCGAATCCCAGGTATTGTCTGAAAAAAATAGGAGAATTGAAAAATTGTTAACATCCAAATCTTGGGGCTCCCCGCGTGCTAGTTTGTACGTGAAGTGTGTGGGTTACAGTGAGGGCTGCGTCCCACCCGCCTGTGTGGATTCACAGGAAGTGTGAATTACGAAGTCTGAAGAAAACGTTGAACGGTCTCTGCTTGGATGACGACTACACCATAGCTCAGCGGTTAGAGCATCGCTGGCTACAAGCGAGGGTCCCTGGTTCGAGTCCTGGTGGTGACAGTCAATTTTTTCTTCAGACTTTTCCCCGTTTGTCTCTTTCCCTCAAAACCAGTCAATATTTTATGACTTGGGGCTCCCCGCGTGCTAGTTTGTACGTGAAGTGTGTGGGTTACAGTGAGGGCTGCGTCCCACCCGCCTGTGTGGATTCACAGGAAGTGTGAATTACGAAGTCTGAAGAAAACGTTGAACGGTCTCTGCTTGGATGACGACTACACCATAGCTCAGCGGTTAGAGCATCGCTGGCTACAAGCGAGGGTCCCTGGTTCGAGTCCTGGTGGTGACAGTCAATTTTTTCTTCAGACTTTTCCCCGTTTGTCTCTTTCCCTCAAAACCAGTCAATTGTTAACATCCCTTTTCATTTTTGCCGTCATCAAGGCGTTAGACGGTGTTGTATTATCCTCGACCGTACCTGTCCCGTACCTGTCCCGTACATGTCCCGTACCTATCCCGTACCGTACCGTACAATCAAAGACGGCTGGCCACAAGGCATATTCAAATAGGGCTTTCAAATACAAGATCATAACGTGAAGCAACTTGGAAGAATTAGTATGTATGCGAAGTGCATTGGGGGATGCATGCAGGGCGATAGTGCGGGTTCGAATCCTAGGTCATGCCTAAAAACAAAAAGTATAAACTTATAAGAATTTATAACATCCCTATGCTTTTTTTGTCTAGGTCATGAAGGCAAAAAAGCATAGCGTAGGGCCCTGAGCTTCCAAGCTCTCTCGTTTAGAAACGAAAACTAGTCGTTTAGGGGGAGGGGGTTGAGTATCTGTTCGTTTCTCGAAAAATATCAATGTACATTTTTCACATGTGTGGGCATGTCCAGAAAAAAAGACCAAAAATATCGATACGATGTACCGTTTGTATGTGTTCGTTTCTGAGGGAGGGGGGAGGGGGGTTGAAGAGAAATGACTAGTTTTCGTTTCTAAAAAAATATCGGTATTTACGGAAGGCCCCTAATGAGACTTCGGGTATAACGACACTTCGCGAATAAGGACACCTTTCTGATGCCCCGCCGAGTGTCGTTATACGCAAAATTGGTCGTTAAAACGTTAGACTTTCCGCTTTGACAGTACTAGTACACGCATGAACACGGCAGACACTGACATGCACAAACATAACGTCTAACTACGCCCGCGTTCCGCCTGATCAACGCTGACACACACGTCCCTCACGGGCAAAGCGACCGACACGTCTCGTTAAGACTTCACCGCACACCAAATCTCAACGCAGCGGCAATGTGCTGCGTGGTTGAGTGCTGACAAACTACGAAAGCAGGTGAAGACGGACTCCGGAATTATAAGCAACCCTGCTGTGCGTCTGGTGCTGTGAGTGAGAGCACTGTTACTAAGCAACTGCTACTAAGCAACCATTTCATTCGTAGGGTACCCCGTAAGAAGACCTTGAGTCTGTGGGCACTGCCCTATTAAAATATGAATAAATAATAACGAGAGAGCTTGGAAGCTCAGGGCCCTACGCTATGCTTTTTTGCCTTGATGACCTAGACAAAAAAAGCATAGGGATGTTATAAATTCTTATAAAGTTTCTACTTTTTGTTTTTAGACATAACCTGGGATTCGAACCCGCACTATCGCCCTGCATGCATCCCCAGATACACTTCGCATACATACTAATTCTTCCAAGTTGCTTCACGTTATGATCTTGTATTTGAAAGCCCTATTTGAATATGCATTGTGGCCAGCCGTCTTTGAATGTACGGTACGGTACGGGATAGGTACGGGACAGGTACGGGACAGGTCCGGGACACAGGCACGTACGCAGGGTCACCTCTAGGGGGGTTTCCAACCGAATCCCAAACAATGAGTTTAAAGTTTCAACCCTTTCTAAGGAGCCCTAGGAAATTTTCAAAATTTTGCATTTTTTCGTGTTGTTTGGATCATAATTTCAGTTCTACGAGCTCGTACTCACTCAATCTTCATTATCTTGGGCTTCCTGGAAGTGGAAGGGTACCAGGGAGAGAATGAGGTCGACCATGATAGCCAGGACACAGTACAGTCATGTACATATCCAGCGCTATAGGCTATAGCGGTAGAGTGCAGCGACGGTGCGAAAAATGCCAAAAAGGACCCAACGCGTCCTGCTCCAGCGATTTCGTTTTTCTTGATCGCAGAGTTTCGATTTTTTGCTGTGTACTCTTGAAAATATCTTAATATCACAAGTGAAGCCCCTGCAAATTTGAGCAAATCAGCGCGACGAAAATCTCAAATTCTCGATACTTAAGTCGCACTGCGCGCTTTTGAAATTGCCGAGATCGAGATCGCGGCTCAACTTAGGAATGATTTATCTCACGTTACATTGCTTGCAGCGCTTCGCAAATTGTTTCAACCGACAGCTGAGAGTTTTCTATTCGACCTGGATATTTGGATCGTTGGATTTGAGCGAGATTTGACTGAGTTACGATCTTTTGAAGTTTTGCATTTATGCCAGATCGATCATGCGCCCTACCAAAAATGCCCAGAAACGTTGCTCGTTTGGAACATTTGGGGGGTTTTCGGGCAACGGGAAACCCCCCTGCGCACGCGCCTGGGACAGGTACGGTCGAGGGTAATACGACACCGTCTAACGCCTTGATGACGGCAAAAAATGAAAAGGGATGTTATAAATTTTTCAATTCTCCTATTTTTTCAGGCATTACCTGGGATTCGAACCCGCACTATCGCCCCACATGCATTCCCCCATACACTTCGCATTCATACTCATTCTTCCAAGTTGCTTCATGTTATGATCTTGCGTTTGAAAGCCCTATTTGAATATTGCGGCCAACTGTATGTGGCCAGATGTGTTTGATGGCACGGTACGGTACGGGACAGATACGGGATAGCACCAGGCGTGACACAAACACACAAACAAACACCAAATTAAAGCTGTGTGGACCCTGGCTAGCGCCAGACGTTACTTAAGTAACGTTAAGTAACGTCTTCTGCATCGCTACGGGAATAATAATAATTACTGAGCAACCATTACAGAGCAACAATTATGCAATTGTTACTGAGCAACCATCACTAGGGAAATATTACTAAGCAATTGTTACTGAGCAACCATTACGAAGCAATTGTTACTAAGCAACCATCACTAAGCAACTTTTACTAAGGCCAAAACAAAAAATAGGCTTGTTTCCGGTCGGCAACCCCTCAAAAAGGAGACTCGGTCGGCCGGAATGAAACTTTTTTTTGGTTCCTCAATCGTTGTGGTATTGATGGACAAGAGCACGTACATATGTACATTGTACTATATCATGGCAAGGATCAATGTCAAAGTTGACTGACTCACTGTTCTTGGACAGCATGTGGTGTATTCCTGTTTTCGTACATCCTGAGAAATCAAGCAAACAGTTCGAGTCCTTCCAGCTCCGTTATTCTAGCTCGTATCGACCCCGGAGTTTTTCGAGCCGCCAGCTGAGAATCTCTGCTACCTTGTAGGTGTTTCGATTGTGGACTTCGTTTGAGATTTGACTGAATTATGACTCGTTGAGTGCACTTGCACACATGGCATTGCCACCGTTTGTATACATTTGGGACCAAAAAATGCTTCAGAATTTGGGAAAAAGTGGCCCGGTCGGGCGACCGGAAACAAGGTCATTATTTGTTTTGGCCTAAGCAATTGTTACTAAGCAACTGCTTACATTGGCTTTCCCCTTTGTGGCGAATACAACTAAACTGATATAGCGTGGTAGCTGCACCCGCTGAGCTGTACAGGAGAGCTATTGTCACCAGACATGCATTACTATATTTATTGATTTACTCAATTTAATCCCGTAGCATATGCAAGCAACGCTAATACTTTTGGAGAGCAACCATTTTTTTACCAACATCTGCCGCTAGGGTTTATCGGGTGTTAGCGGCCGTCGTTAGTTCCCTTCGGGAACGGACACGATAATTTACTTTACTTACATGCATTTCCATAATTTTCCACCCTTGATGTTGCCATGATATTGCCATGATATGCCATGATATGCCATGATATGCCATGATATGCCATGATATGCCATGATATGCCTTTGGAATATCAAATAAAATATAAAGAAATGAAAAGAAGTACTCGGATGGTGAGCCAATTATATAATTGTGAAAGAAGAAAGAGAAAATCATAACATAACTCGTAACATTTTGTCTTTCTTCTTTCACAAAAGAAGTACTGTCAGTCAACGAGTATTTGGCACGTATCTACTTTTGACTATTTTCGGCCTGATCATATTTGGCCGACAATTGGTTGCAGGTGAAATTTAGTTTTGCAAGGTTCAGTGTGACAGCGCATACGGGTAGCAGTAGTGCAGGCTGAAAATTGTGTTGCAGCCGAAGTGACATTTTGTGTGTTAGCCCTGGGAGGCCGAACATTTGAACGGGCCGAAAGTTTGTAGACCTACAGTGGAGCCGTGTTTGTGTCCTTGCTCTCGACTCACCTTCTGGTACGGCGCACCGCGTGCAGAGTTGAGTGCGCTGGACGAGTTGAAGCGTCGCGGCGGCCTCATGGCACCTCCGGGTGCCACCTGCTGCTCACAGTCGCCAGCGTTCAGTGACGGTGTGGAACCGGCGAGCTGCAAACGGCTCAGGTGAAGCGGCTCCTCCCTGATTGCTCCACCCGGGGTCGCTACCCCGCTGGTGGCAGTGGGTATGGGTTGCTGCCGGTTCTCGTCCAGTACACTCGGGCAGGACAATGCCTGCGTGTGCTGTAGGCGATGCCCTGCAGCCGGCTGGAGATATCCAGATTGCTGCTGCTGTTGCTGTTGCTGCTGCTGCTGTTGCTGCTGCTGATGATGATTTTGTAGTTGCCTGAAGAGAGAGAGAGAGAGAGAGAGTGTGTGTGTGTGTGTGTGTGTGTGAGTGTGTGTTCACGTGCAACGCACGGCAGTCCAATAGAGTAGTGGGCACGATCAACGCCAGACGGAAAAAACCCACACACACACGGAAAGAGAGACGGACACGTACACAAACACAAAACATGCATACACGCGTGAACAGACACACACACACATGCACGCACGCACATCGACATGCAGGCACACAGATAAATAAACCGAGCCGTTCGCATGAAGAACAGGGATAAGATTTTTACAGATACGGGTGAATACACAGATTCACACACACCCACAGACACAGACACACACACACACACTGTTAAAACGGGTCAACAACACACTTAAATTGGAGTCTGCGAGTGCTTAGAAAACAACACCTTTCCTATCACAAATATTCAATCTCCACAACGTACTACAGTCAGTCCTCTTTTATCCGGATCCCTCGCCATCCGGATGAAAATCGTTGGTTACCGATTTACCGTTATTCCGCGCATATAAGCCCATGGGCTAATATGGCTTATATATTATGTGAAATAAGCCCATGGGCTTATATGTGAAATAAGCCCATGGGCTTATAATATTATGTGAAATAATGCAGTTTGGGGATAGAATATCGAGTAAAACATGT